TTGCCCCTCTATTCTGGTGTTCCCACTCCAATTGTCATTGCACACCAGAGCCAAGAATGACAGGCTAAAATAGTGCTGTGATTTGTCTGGCAGTCAGTCCTGCACCAAGAACTTAGAATTCGAGGGCCAGTCATACCAGTCCTCTGGGGGTGCTCCAGCCCTCACATAGACTGAGCCGCCCTCCCCCGTGGTTGTTGTACACACGGCTGTCTATCACTTTGTCAGCGTGTGTGAATAATTATCGGGTAATTGCAGCTTCTGTAAAAGTCGTTAATTAGCTCCCCGTGATCGGCTTGTCCATTCAGACCATTGAATAGACTCCTGTGTGTTCTGTGCAGAGACAGCGAGGGGTTAATACAAGCCGAAGACAGTGGCGCCCCCTGCTGCTAGGCACCCCCCCACTTTTTTTTTTTTTTCACCAAACCTCTATTTATCTCCTTTGATAAAGTGACAACATCATTAGGGACTGCTCAGGATTGGAGAGTGAGGAGATTTTCTGGATAATTTAACATTTTGTCAGGCTAATATTTTTCCCGACGCGCCAACGTCTCTCCTCGCCGTTAATAGCCACTTGCCGGCAGAGACCCGTGTCATGTCTGAGCGAAGGGTTAATGGATGTCACATGTCGGGAGAGGTCTCCGGATTGACCGTAGGGGGGTGACGCCGAGGTTTGGATGGCGAGATCGCCTCTGGCGTGATGAGTGCTCCTCGGCAGTAATTAGACCCGGAGCTCCTCTGTGATACATGCAGCAATCTTACATTCATAATTACACGCCGACGAGCCGATTATTTTTATTTACTTCTTCTTTTTAATCTCCTATTGTGCGGCTCGTACAGCGAAACATCCCGAGAGCGCCGAACAGACAGGCCGTAACCACCTCTCGGCGTGCGTTATTAAAGATGACCTCCAGGCAGATATAAAAGACACAAATTAATGCTGCTCTGTATTCATTAATACATCATTAATTGTATCTTTTTAATGCAGAATGAATATGACCTGACGTCAGTCTCCTGCAGTGTCCGTACAGCAGGGCTGCTGTGTGAGAAGAAAGCAGCACAAGGAGCCAATCTGTTCATGTGCTTAATAAGAAGCATGCTGAAAGGAGGAGAGAACAGAGAGAGCAAAGCTCATCGCTGTGCTACTTCTCCTTTCACTGTCCATTCACATGCAGGGGTGGGTCCAGGACAACCTGAGCTCAGTGGAAATGGGTTGAGTGATGCTGGCCATCACACTGAGGACATCTAGTGGCAAAATAAAGTACTGCGGGGGATAGCTCTGGTATGCAGGTGAATATAACAGCAAAATCTGGTTTTGTTTTTTTCTCTTTTTAATGGGTTATTCGCTGCTTTTGTTTTGTTTTTGGCTGGAGCTCTGCTTTAATGTAACTATCATTTATTGATAGGTGAGCTCCTTGAATATCCAGAAATGTGATCATGGCTGTTATTAGAACATTATATAATAAAGACACTATGGATTGAGTTTGCTCTGCTGGGTGACACCAGGTGAGATCCGCCCAGGGGCGGACTGACCATTTGGAAACTCGGGCATTGCCCGAGGGCCTGGGGTCGGTAGGGGGCCCCATGAGATGCCCCTGGTACTTTTTTCATAGGCTTTTTTGAGTTTGGGCAAGGACACGGGCCCCATGATCCCCTATTGCCCGGGGGCCTCATAAGTTGTTAGTCCGCCCCTGGATCCGCCACGTCTTATCTTGCGTTCCGGGCTCTGTTCTGTAGGACACACTCCTCTTGTTATACGTTTGCTATGGAAGGAAGCTCAAAGTGGGGTCTATATCTCTTTTAAAGGCTGCGTTACTCTTTGTCCTCCCATGTCAGCATTCAGTCATGAAAGTATGTTTTGATTTCGACCAATCACAAACCTGTATTTACACTGAACCACTGGCCAACACAGGCTTGCAGTAAGAGTGACTAATCTATGAACTCAAGGACCAGAGAAGGTTCTAATCCCAATGTGGTGACATTCACTATACAGTATGTGGTGTATAGAGGAGAGGGGCAGGGCAATGGTATGGAGCAGGAAGATCATAAGAGCCTGTATGTGACCTCACAAATCTGTATGGTTGAGATGTTTTTGGCCAGAGTTCCCCTTTTATTCACTACTTTGCTGTCTGGAAATGAATTCTTTAACTGGCTGATGATGGAAGGTCGTCTCCAGAAAGAAATGAACTTTCACCAATTGGCAGTGTTTGAAATGCATCTCAGTATCCCTCCAAAATTTCTGGTTTACTGCGCAGGATTCAGTCAGTTTGTCTGTGGCGTGCTGCCCTGCAACTGGATGATGGACGCTGCAGCGCAGTCTTTGTTATTTCCCCAGCAACGTGGATGTTGGCTCCAATCATATGCAGTGAAGCAATCTGGAAAGATAAAGCTGCCGACGGGTCCTGTCCAGGATGAATGCTGTGTGTTTGGGCTGGACGGACCCCCGGAACCAGGGGCACCAATGTGCCTGAAAGGTTCCGACTGCTGCCATGTTTACACAGGAACTACTGGGAGCTCAGAGCTGATCAGCTTCTTAGTTTTGGGGGGGTTGTCCCCCCCCTTCCTTGCCTAGGATGATACTCCTGGGGCTACCCCCTGTTGTCCCAGACTGGGCTCTCATGGCCTCCTGCTGCCTTTTCCCTCCCAACCCCTTGTCCTATGCTAGGACTACCTACTGTCTCCACGCCCCCTTCCCTGACTCAGATTCCTGGGGTTGTGTTTGCCTGCCACTACTTCCCCCAAACTGGACTACCCAGGGGCTCCTGCTGCCCCCCCCCAAACCGAAACTCACAGGGCCACTAGTTGCCCTCCCAACTTTTACCCCTAGGACTAGGGCTCCCAGGGCCACTAGTTGCCCTCCCAACGTTTACCCCCAGGACTAGGACTTCCAGGGCCACTAGTTGCCCCTCCCATCTTTTTACGTCCAGGACTAGGATTCCCGGACCACCAGCTGCATGCATTCTCCAGACTATTTTCCCAGGGATGCCAGCTGCCTTTTCACCCCCCCCTCCTAACTAGGACTCCTGGGGCCACCTGCTGCCCCCTTTCCTTTTACCCCCTGATATGAATACTAAGGGCCCCCTACTGTTCCCCGGGACCCCCAGGGCCACTAGTTGCCCTCCCATCTTTTACCCCCAGGACTGGGACTCCCAGGGCCGCTAGTTGGCCTCCTATCTTTTATCCCCAGGACTGGGACTCCCAGGCCACCAGCTGCTCCACCCACCCCAAACTAGTTTCCCAGGGCTGCCAGCTGCCTTTTTACGCCCCTGAAGGAGGTCTCCTAGGGTCACCTGCTGCCCCCATCCCTTTACCCCAAGATTGGAATACCAAGGGCCACCTACTGTTCCACCTAGACAGGAAATCCCAAGGCTGCCAGTTGCCATCCCATCTTTCCCCTCCCCAGGACTGGGACTCTCAGTCTGTTAACTGCCCTCCCATCCCTTTTTCCACATTGGGGACTCCTGGGACCACCCACTGCCCTCCCAGACTGGGAATCCCAGAGCCACATGCTACTTTTTTTTTTTTTGCGCAATAATTTTTTACTGAGTTTTCTAGGTTTTCAAGCTATGCAACATTAGGGGGCTGACGTAGTTTTATGTGGGAGCCCGAGTAAGTAATAGCAATCGATCCACAGTTCGGGAACTCCAAAGTACCCAAAGTGCAATATCGGAAGTGGCATGTAACATAGACAGCTGGGAAATAAGGTCTGCTAGGTAGTAGTTTGCCATGTTGGGGACTCCCAAGCCCCCTGTAAGTTATGGGTGTAATGAGTAGAGCAAGAGATTCCAGGGAGTTTATATGCCCAGACTAAGTTAAGGATCCTGTTTTGCAGGAGGCGTAGATAAAAAGAAGGGACCCTAATAGGGAAGGTGCAGAAGTAGTAGAAGGCTTTAGGCACAATCATCATTTTAATGGTACTAATGTAACCTATCCATGACACTTGCTACTTTTAATACAACACTTTCCACTTCCTTTAATCCATGGGAACAGTATTTAGTATGTGAACAGAAGTTCCAAGCATCATTATCCTCCTGCCTTATCCTAGCATAGAGCTTTAGGGCCAGTCACAGCCACCAAGCCATGAAGAACATGGCATCCCCTGCAGAACCTTTACTGCACTGGGGTTTTAATCTTGGACAATTTTGTACAGGAAAGCCAAAAGTTTCAGGTTTTTTTTTCCTGTTTAATATTGTGATCATGGAGAAGTCTGGAACTCCCATTTTGATACTTGGTGTTTCCATGAAGGGCTTTTTGGTATTGGGTAGGACAGAAGCAGGTAAGGATCGGTGACAATGAATGCAATGTAGCTGTCCTGAAGCAAAACAGAGAATGGTTAAGCTCTTGGACTTTACAATAGGCCATTGCAACATATAACGGTCATCGGCTTTATGGCATCTTCCCCTCTTTGATATATCAATTCTTAATGTAGAGACATTTTCCTCCTGGCTCCTTCCCTGCATCAGGGAACCAGTGTGTGTGAGATTGAAGCTGTAAATCTGATGTTGTCAGGACTGAAATCTGTGTTGACAATCTACCGGCACAAGTCACCGGACTCCTCGGAGTGCCACGTCCCCCCCAGAGTCTATTTCAAGAATTAGAGAGAAACCGTTAAACTCACAAGTGAAATACATAATGACAGCTATTTTACCTGCTAAAGGATTTGTAATTCTGTTCAGCCAGTTCTTTGACCCTATCACCCCTGCCAGACACAGCGCAGGTCCTGGACCTCCCTGTAGACTGTGATTGGACAATGAAGGAGCAGACAAGGTCAGCTATGTATGATCTGCTCTCCTGTAAGTATGGTTATGGTGTTAGATTGACAGCACTATACAACGCAGAAGAGCTGTGATTGGCTCCCAGTATGGTATTGAAGATTGTAAGAGACTGATATGAAGACAAATGTAAGTGCAAATATTATGTTTGTAAGCAGAAAAAAAATCCTCTCACATCTGGATTAAATGGCATTTTTTATTTGCATGGAGTTCAGAGCTGAACTCCAGCCTTCCCTTCAGCCTACAGCCTGACCTAAAATGGCTTACTCTGATATTGCTGTACACTGTGAGCTTCTCACAATGTACATTTAGAAGCTGCTGCAAGTCAGAGCCTGCCTCATTTCCTGCCTGGAGCACGTCCAGCATCATCTAGTGCTTTCCTCCCCAGCCTGACTGTCCCTGGTCTGTCCCCTTCATTCATTGTATTTCAGTTCTTCTAATCATGAAGGCTCAGCATCACATGTAGATGTTGCCTGTGACAGTCTGCATCCAAATGCAGCCTGCCTAAGATCACCCACTCCTCTAGACAGACAGTTGTCCATCAAGGCAATTTAATATTGCATAACCTCTCCCACCCTCTGCACCAGGGCTTAAAGCTGTATTAAAGTGTTACTAAAACCTGAACCCTGTATTCACCATATCTAGTCTCCCAGGACCCTGCATTCACTATATCCTGTCTCCCCGGACCTTGCATTCACTATATCTGGTCTCCCCGGACCCTGCATTCACTATATCTGGTCTCCCCGGACCCTGTATTCACCATATCTGGTCTCCCCGGACCCTGTATTCACCATATCTGGTCTCCCCGGACCCTGCAATCACTATATCTGGTCTCCCAGGACCCTGCATTCACTATATCTGGTCTCCCCGGACCCTGCATTCACCATATCTAGTCTCCCAGGGCCCTGCATTCACTATATCTGGTCTCCCAGGACCCTGCATTCACTATATATGGTCTCTCAGGACCCTGCATTCCCTATATCTGGTCTCCCCGGACCCTGCATTCACTGTATCTGGTCTCCCAGGACCCTGCATTCCCCATATCTGGTCTCCCCGGACCCTGCATTCACTGTATATGGTCTCCCAGGACCTTGCATTCACTGTATATGGTCTCCCAGGACCTTGCATTCACTATATCTGGTCTCCCAGGACCCTGCATTCACTGTATCTGGTCTCCCCGGACCCTGCATTCACTGTATCTGGTCTCCCAGGACCCTGTATTCACTATATCTGGTCTCCCCGGACCCTGCATTCACTGTATCTGGTCTCCCAGGACCCCGCATTCACTATATTTGCTCTTTCCCCGGACCCCGCATTCACCATATCCGCTTTCCCCTGACCCTGCATTCACCATATCCGGTCTCCCCGGACCCTGCATTCACCATATCCGGTCTCCCCGGACCCTGCATTCACCATATCCGGTGTCCCCGGACCCTGCATTCACTATATCCACTCTCTTTAGACTGCATGCACTATAGCTGGTCTCCCACAGTACACAGAACATGGAAATGCAATTATTGTAGTAAATATAAACTGCTAAATACCTTTTTTTCATATCAGTAGCAGTATATAGCAGTCTTGTGACTTCTATCAGTGTCCGTCTGAGCATTGGTTAAAGCTTGTAGGAGGAGTTTTCATTCTGCTCTAACTGTCCTATGTGACTGCATAACACCTGACCCTCTGTTTGGACAGTGCTGATTGGCCCTGTGCTAATCACATGCACTGTCCCAAGAAAAAAAAACTCTCTAGCAATACACTCCAAACTGCGAATGTGCAGCTTGCCCCCTAGGCTTTGTATCATCAGCAGATGGATTAGGGACAGTAGAAAAAGGGGAGGATCAGAGAAGACAGGACCAAACAACCCTTTTACACAATGTGGAGGATTAACCTCTTAGGTTCCACAGTGAGTATAACAATCATGCTTTACTGCATCTACAGACTGATTTTACTGTTTGGTAACACTTTAAATCCAAAAGCAAACATTTTTCATATTGCAGCTTACCATTTCTTAGATGTGATGGCTGCATTTGTTTTCTTTTATTTTCACGTGGTGATCTGGCCAGTTGTTCTTCAACAAAACAAGCTCTCCAGCAAAATGTATCAGTTTACAGGGATGAGGCTATCAATTTACCACTGGCAGGGGTGCTTACAATGATCAGCTTTTATTTATGTAAAACCTTTATCCCAAAAGGGAAAGAAACTGTGTACTGTAATTGATTATAAAGTGTGAGCTGGAGTTTGGCATTTTGGTATTTAAATTTGCTAGTCCATCTAACATTCCCCTTCACCCAGACTGACAATGCTGCTGTTTTCTGTGCCTCCTGTGCTCATTCATCCAGAATTGTGTCTCACTAATACAGGAGGGGTGTTACTGGCCAGATCACCAGGTGAAAAAATATAGAAGTAAAAAAGCCAAAGAAAAGAAAACTAATGCAGCCACCACATCAAATGACCGGTAAAGCTGCAATATAATACATTTTTTGTTTTGGGTTTAATACTGGTTTACATATATGCGATTTTGAATCTGTTTTGAGGAGCAGGAATCAGATGACATTTGAAAGAGTATGTTTCTATTGTGGGTGTTTATATACGTGTGGTTGATCCACCGTGCATTTTAAGAAAAGCGTCCTGTGCGGTTTTAGGTGTTTTTGAGTGCAATCCAATTTTGTCATAGAGTTCAATGGTGTGATCATCTAATGCATTTCTACTTGGGGGGGGGGGGGGGGGGAGAGAGGGGGGGGGGGAGGGAGAGGGGAGAGGAAGCGGGGGGGGGGGGGGGAGAGAGAGGGAGGGGGGAGAGAAGGGGGGAGGGAGAGAGAGCGGAGGGGGGGGGAGAGAGGGGGGGGAGAGAGAGAGGGGGGAGGGAGAGAGAAGGGGGGAGAGGGGGGAGCGAGAGCGGGTGGGGGGGAGAAGGAGCAGGGGGAAGGGTAGAGAGAGAGAGAGGGAAGGGGGGGGGGGGGGAAAGATTAAAAACAGACTGCTATTCAAGCTGGAAACACATATGCTTTTCACTTAAAAAAATTGAGCGATTTCGGAATGCATATGTGTAAACCTAGAGTAAGGCAGACAGGAGTACTGAGGCCGGGTGCTGTGATGTTCTCCGGAAGCTATGTACAGCATAGTGCTGGCCCCTTCCACCAGATCTGCCTGCATTGCATAGAGAATTACAGAAAGCCAGTGATGACGTCACTAAAGTTGGGTATACATACTGGGTTGTTTTTCATTCAACCTACGGGTTTCAATTAAAAAAAAACCCCTCAGATTCTCACATCCACGAAAGTGATGGATGCAGGGATCTCTCCCAATGCGCTATTGTATTCTCTCAGCGTGCCCTCTATCTCCTCCAATTGGAATACACTGATCAGCGCTGCAGATTTGGGTGTGGTGGCTGATTGAATGCTGGGTTTTCCATCAGTATCAGTCAGCTTCTGTGGTACTAGACAAATTTCGATATGTGTACACCCAACACAAGTCAAAATAGTATGTAATAAAAATGAAAAATTTGCATTTATAAATTTAATTAGCATGTAGATGGGGGGGGGGGCAGGGAAGGCATAATAAAAGCAGAATACATTTTAGCTTTAAAGTGTTTGTAAACCCTTATTTATACCCAGTAAAGTGACTGGCCTCAGGTGATACACAGAGATTAAACAAATCCTCCTATATGAGTTGTACCTGTTTATTTGCAGTCTTCTTTTCTCTACATCATTCAAAGTGCAGAATGTGTACAGCTTGTCTATGCTTTTAGAAAGCAGGGGGGTGGAGAGCTGAAGTTACATGAGTTAGGAGAGTTCTGAAGACACATCCCCCTTCACTCAGTACCCAGGAACAGAGCTGAGGCTGTCAATCACAGGCTGTGCCCTCCCCTGTCACTAATTTTCACAGGAAAACTCAACAGAAGTGACTCATGTTTATAGGAGAGGAACAAGGCAGGGGACAGAAATGACACTTAGTGCTCTGGATTGAGACAAGTGCACACTGTAAAGGGATATGCTTTGTTCATGATTCATGTCTGAGGTTTACAACCACTTTAAGCACATAATGTTGATGTTTGGCTGGTCATCATGAAGTGTGGTCATTCTACTGAGATGCAGGATTGGAGCCGCGGCGGTAGATGATCATTTTGCGTGTCACTTCTATGTCGCAGGGGCGGGTCGCCTTACTCTGTACCAGAAATCATCCTGTTCGAGTTTCTCTTATTCCTGGTTCCACCAACTCAGAGGGATCACCATTGTTGCTGCAAAGAAGTTCATTCAGCAACTGTTACAATGCTGCCGTAATCCATGTTGCATTGTCCGCTATTACTCCTGATCAGGTGAGCTGCGCACAGCGCTGCCTGTTTATCAGAAACAAAGTTCTGCGTGCAGCTTTCAACTCGTATTAGAGCTCTGCGTCACGCGACGCCTCCGTCTGCACGCACTCAGCCCGCCGAAAGCAGTCGGCTTCTTTGTGGAAAAAGTCTCTTCATCCCATTTACAAAGATCAGTGAATAGCGGAAGACGATTATGCTAAACAAACCGTTTTAATTGAAGAAAATAATACAATAAAGTAATTAGACGGTGGACAAAGCTCGGCGGAAGAGATTTCGGGCCACATGTGTGGGAACGAACGTCCCTCAAACCTGCAGCGGCGGGAGAGGTGGCTGTGCCGCTCCGCGTATTGTCTGCCGGCAGATAAGGGGATTAGTCGGGCTTATTTGTTTTCATGCTGGATTTAGCTAATTCTGCATTACAAATGGGGCCGGTGGAGGTAGCCGGGAGATCGCGCTGCTTTGCCAGGAGCTACACGCTGGTCGTACACCAGTATCTCTCCATCGCGGCAGGTGCTCTCATCTCCGACCATCTTCCTAAATGGAGTTGGCATCTTCAAATACCAGCGTATGCGGGTGCCTGGGCACCTATCTCTTCAAATCTTCGTCCAGCCCGAGCCACATGCCGTTCTGTAACCGCAGCAGTTACAACGCATTAAATGCTGCAAGCCGCAGGACAGTAATGTTTGATGGCTTCTTTCAGACCCCCTCAAAGCCGGGGAATTCAGAGATTTTAACTTTTTTAGATGTTCATGAATTCCATAGGTTTTAATGTGAATATTCTGAGCAACAAGAAAAACACCTGTATAGTTTGTGGTCATAGTCGTACACTGGGGCCTGTATTGAATAAAATAAAAAAAACATTAAAAATTTATTTTTATATATATATATAGAATCAATTTCGGCATTTGTTTTGTATTTTTTTTTGTCTCTTTTATTAGTTTCTTTAGTAATGTCTTGTGTCTGAATGAATGAAAATATATATATATACAGTCATGGCCGAAATTGTTGGCACCCTTGATATTTTTCCTGAAAATCAAGTATTTCACACAAAAAAGGTATTGCATTAACACATGTTTTGCTATACACATGTTTATTCCCTTTGTATGTATTGGAACAAATATAAAACAGAGGCAGAAAAGCAAATATGACATAATGTCACACAAAACCCCAAAAATGGGCTGGACAAAAGTATTGGCACCCTTAACTTAATATTTGGTTGCACACCCTTTGGAAAACATAACTGAAATCAGTCGCTTCCTATAACCATCAATAAGCTTCTGACACCTCTCACCCGGAATTTTGGACCACTCTTCCTTTGCAAACAGCTCCAGGTCTCTCTTATTGGAAGGACACCTTTTCCCAACAGCAATTTTAAGATCTCTCCACAGGTGTTCAATGGGATTTAGATCTGGGCTCATTGCTGGCCACTTCAGAACTCTCCAGCGCTTCTTTGCCATCCATTTCTGAGTGCTTTTTGACGTATGTTTGGGGTCATTGTCCTGCTGGAAGACCCAGGATCTTGGACGCAAACCCAGCTTTCTGACACTGGGCCCTACAGTGCGACCCAAAATCCTTTGGTAATCCTCAGATTTCATGATGCCTTGCACACAGTCAAGGCACCCAGTGCCAGAGGCAGCAAAACAACCCCAAAACATCATTGAACCTCCACCATATTTTACCGTAGGTACTGTGTTTTGTTCTTTGTAGGCCTCATTCCGTTTTCGGTAAACAGTAGAATGATGTGCTTTACCGAAAAGCTCTATCTTGGTCTCATCTGTCCACAAGACGTTTTCCCAGAAGGCTTTTGG